AACGACAATACTTCGATTTGTCAACATTGGGCTTGGGGGTGTCGACCTGGGGAAGCGGACACCTCCCTGGACAAATTCGGTCTTGGCGCATTCGGCCAGTATGCGCTCGCGGGAAGCGACTAGGGCTGTGTAGTCCGTGAATCGGCCAGCGGGGCCTCGCTGCTCGCGTTGTTCGCGGGGGCGATCCTCTCGTCGGCGATCGCCTCCGCGCCGGTGGCTCAAAGCTCCGCCGTCTCGGTGCCCACGGGGGGTCTCCCTATCTCGCGTGTCTCAGGCGGAGTTGGCTGCTTGGGTTTCCTCAAACCGGATATAATGTGCGGCTCTGCCGAGGAAATCCTGTAGAGATGCTGGTCGGTGTATACCCACGGCCTCGTAGAACTTGGAATCACGGCGCAGGCTCTGCTCCATTAGGTAATGCTTCATTTCATCTGACGTCGTTACCTGCACTGCCTCCCGTGTGAATCTTTCGATGTACTTCCAGAGAGGCTCGTCGGGGGCTTGGATTATGGCGCCGAGCGCGGCTTCTGTCTTCGGGTGGCGTCGGGATGCTGTAAAGTGTTTCGAGAACAGGTCTTTCAGGACCCTCCACGACGCAACCGATTCCGGTTCAAGACTCTTGTACCATGTCATGGCACCCTTCCTCAGGGTCGTTGGGAATAGCCTGCATTTTATAGCTCCTCGCACATTTCGGTAGTCAAGCATGACCTCAATGTGTTCCAGGTGGTCGTCTGGGTCGGAGGTGCCGTCGTACGTCGAGAGCGTCGGGGGCTTTTCTATCCCGTGGGGAATGGGGGCGACCATGATTTCGCGGGATAGGGGAGTCCTGTAGTCATCTTCATCGCTGAGAGTGGGGAATCGAGGGGGAGACGATCCATTTGGCAGGGGCACCTGGTTTCGGGTCCTCGGCCTCCTGACTGGGGGGTCGATGCGGGGAGGCCCGGTCGGTGGCCCTGCTCCGGCTTGTCGTCTATGACGCACTTGCCTCGCCGGGGATCTTGTTCGCTCCCACACTACCTCGGGGCGGGGCCGCTCCAGCTGAGGTCGTCGATTCCTGGGTTGAGGCGAGGGACTCCTCGAGTTCCCGTTCTGGTCTTCCCGCGGAGGGGACCTTAGCGGGACCTCTCGTTCTAGCGCTCTAATCCGCGTGTTCTGTTGGAATAACAGTTGGTTCGTTTGGTTGATGGCCGCGAATAAGGCGGCCACAGTCGGGTCCGCTCCGGCCGAGACAGGAACAGGCTGGAACGCTGCTGGGCTTCGTGGCCGGAGGGGCGCCTGACGTGCGAGTTCTGCGGACGATGGGGACGTGCCGTCCCTTTCGTCGGTCTCCGCTGGGCGGGACGTCTCCGTTTGCTTGTCGCCGTTTGCGGCAGGGGTGAGGACGAAGTCGTGATCGGTATCATCGTGGTGTGGGCTAGCCATGATCGTGAAGTGTTGGTGAAACTTTGGTTCGCTTGCTCGGAGGAACGAGGAAGTTTTAGTTTCTCACAGACGGCGCCACTGATCTAACCTGATCAGAAAGGGATCCTTGGCTGACCACACTCTGTTGGGCTGCTACCTGTTCACCGGTGCTGAAGAGAAAGGAAGGGGGTGTACCTGCAAGACACTCTGATGCCAAAGTAAGGAATTGGGCAGAGTGAAAGCAAATACAGAAAAAAGTAAGTGAATTACCTGACCCTCTTGTGAAAGAGGGTATTTATAGAGAGACCCCAACGCTGGGCCAACAGTCACTTGTGTTGGGCTGGATTGTCAGGCCCAACCCAGGTGACTACTAGGGCTTACATGGCGTAGTGAAGACCGGGACGTGGTCTTCGCCCTAGTCCACTGTCCCTTGATCTCCGGAAAGTGGGTTTGACCTGCTCTTTCGGAGGTGGGCAGTTGGTTGGTGACGTGTCCCCGCGGAGGGGAGCACGTGGAGAACGTGCGACTGGCACGTTGGTCTCCTCGCGGAGGGGAGCTCGCAAGGTCCCCCGGATGTGTGTTGTTCTCCCCGTGGAGGGGAACACACACGGACGCGGGGAAGACACGTTGTCCTGCTCGTGGCATGGGGATTCTGTCCGCGGAGAGCTGTTCTGCCCGACGAGGGGAGAGCGCCGAGGGCGCCTTGAGGCACGCCGTCCTGCTCGACGGGAGCATATCCTGCCCGACGAGGGGGTCGCGTGCCCGACCAGCCTAATTAAATCATATCGGGCCTTGGCTGCGCATCATTGGGTTGGGCCGCGAGGTGAGACCCGGCCCAGACCAGAACAATTATTATTATTATTATTATTATTATTATTATTATTATTATTATTATTATTATTATTATTATGAGAGAGAGAGAGTAGCTTAAGATAATAAAAAGTTAAGGGTATTATATGTAAAATAAAAATTATTACTTAAAAAGTAACAACAATCATGAGCTTTATTGGTACATGTAAAAAGTCAAAAGATGACAATGAAAAAGGAAAAGAGGGAGTATCATAAAAAAACATACACATAATTGATTCATCACTCAAGTCCTCTCATGTATTATCACTTAAGTGATCACCATCATCAACAATAATTCTCTTTCCCTTATTATTCCCTTTAACTTAATAAATAAATATTGAGTTTTCTACACAGACTTTTGGTTCAACATGTATTTATATAACACGTTTATCGTCCTCAACATACTTTGACATTTGACATGCATTGACATGATTCCGAAACAGAATTAGGTCTTCATCAAAATATTCACTCTCATGTGTCCACCATAGTTTCACTTTAATTGATTATTGTATGTGTCTACCCTAGTAATCCGAGAAAGCTTTAAGATATTTAGAATATATAATCTTTACAAAACATGTTCAGACATAAAACAACATAATGATCAAAGAAGACAACATTCACCAACTCTTATCAAACAATTTTTTTTAGATGGATGTCATTCAGGGTCATAATTCTCAATGTGTTTGATAAAATAAGGTCATCCAACTGCAATGCCCCAATGAATTTCCTTTAATTCATAATTGTGTGCCTACCCTAGAAATTCAAGAAAGTTTCGAGATGTTTAGAATATCTAATTTTTTTTAGTCAATCAACAAAACATGTTAAAATATAGAACCACACAATGATCAAGAGAAGACATTATTCACCCACTCTTACCGAATATTTTCATTTAGACAGGTGTCATTTGGACTATCCAACACATGTTCCTTTCGGGAACCAGAAATTGATACAATTGAAAAATTGGTGATCTTTAACATTGTCTCCGATCTCTTTTACGGTGGCGTGGGTTGGGTCTGCATGGCTAGTACGCCAACGCCCAAGTCATTTCAAGATTCAAGATGATTATAGTAAAAATTAGAGATTATATATTGTACCTTGACCTTAGTGTGTGAATTGATTTTATACCTTAGACTAAGTGGAATGAGTTTGAGATGCATTGGATATTGGTCATTTGGCCTTTTGGCGGTTCCAGAACCATACTTATAATTTTTCAAAGATGTATGATGAGCTTACTTTAAGATCTTATTAAAACATAAATGTTGAATTTCCTACCTAAGCTTTTGGCTCAACATGTATTTATATATCACGCATATTGTCCTTTGACATTTGACATGCATTGACATCATTTTAAAATAGATTTATGTCTTCATCAAAATATTCACTCTCATGTGTCCACTATAGTTTCACTGAATCATCTTCAACCTTGAAATTCATTCCTTTAATTAGGTTACAAGTCTCAAAATAAAACTACACCTCACCACCTTTCTTTAAGACATATTTTATTTCGGATATCCAACTTAAAGAGCCATGATTTTCAATGTTCTTGATAAAATATGTTCAATGCCCCAATGAATTACCTTTAATTAATTATTATGCGTGTCTACCCTAATAATCCAAGAAGACTTAAACTTATACTTATATCATCATTGTACTCGTATCATCTAGGTAAACATGCTAATTATTTTGCAACAGGGGTTGTATTGTGTCAAAGACGTGACAGGATATTTCATTCTATTTACTATGCAATGAATATTTTTTGATTAAGACCCAAGTGAACTATTCCATTTCTCCGGTGTGCATTTTCATTAGAGGCGTAATAGTGCAAATCTACACCATCAAAATCTAACCAGCTCTACCTCTCTCAATAATTGGTTCACAATTTCCACGGGAGACACCATTTCTCCACATCTTTCTTCATCACCTGGATGACACCATTTCTCCACATCTTTCTTCATCACCTGGATGCTTGGCAGTTGGAATGTTGGCAGTTGGAATGTAACGTCCAACGAAACCTTGTCTCTATATACGCCTCTTTAGTTGAATGAACAATTTATTTGCAGAAACATAAATAAATAAATACTTCGCAATATCAATGTACACGAATGATGAAAAACTCAAACTGGTTAACTCTTGCATATAAAATGAAAAACTCAAACTGGTTAACTCTTGTGCATATAAAATGGATAACTCAAACTGGTCCAAAGCATCAAGCTAGTGGAGGAATGTGGAAGTACATGCTTAGACCTTCATCAGGCTTGAAGTCAAATGCATTATATATGCTGGAAAATTGTGTCTAAAGTTCACGTTCCTATCCGTCCCCTGGGTTGGGAAGGGTTAAGCTCAAACACTTATGGTGCCTGCAAAAGTGTTCTAAGAGTTGATATATTACCATATAAAACTAACATTCACATTCAAATTTAAAATGCTAAACAGCTCCAGAAGTACACAATATTGTCCCCAATAAATACGCAGTTTATTCTAGCAACTGTTGGAATTTTCTTTTTTGGTACAGTGCAGCTGCCAGAAGGAACCTCTATACAATACAGAAGAAGACCAATTATATTAATGGCACATCAACATCGTGATTTCATCTGACGGAACTCTCAGCATCGGGCATGTTATAAAAGCTAGCCTGAGTACACCTAACAAACAATTTCTCCCACAAAATACATCACAGCTCAGCGCTAGGCACATCAACCGGCAGAATCTAGCAACTTTGTCAAACTAACATAAACTGTCCCCTTAAGTATTCATTACTCTTTGGTAACCCACCTATGGCCCCTAATCTGGTAGCCACCATAGGTTTGATCACTACTGCTTTCTCCACCGCTCTCTCCACTTGTATATCCAGATTTCCGACGGTGCTTCTTTCCCCTAGACATCGCACTATCACTGACACTCCCATTCAAGAGGGGATCATCGATTCCCCGAATCAACCTCCTTGTAGGTGATGATGACGGAATGTAGCAGTCATCCTTGATTCTTCTTTTATCTTTCTCATGCTTTTTAATGTTTTGGGATATCTTATGTAGTTTTTCATTGAATCTAGTGAACCCCTTTTCCACAGGCTCCACAGCTTGATGGACAGTGAACCTCACATCTTTCACAATCTGAATGATACAAAAACGGACAGCAGATAAAAATTAAGAGGATTTGATATGAATGCGAAATGTAAAGCCAATATGTATATTACTAATAAAGATAATTGTAGACAGTTTTCAATCTATTGTTGTCTTGAAGGCCAAATAAATCCTTATGTTATATATATAAAAACTGATTGTGGGTATGGGTCAAAAATTGTAACTGAAATATATATAAAAACTACTTTAGATAACTGCACCATACATTGTGGTTCCATTATCCTTGAATTTACCCAAGATCTCATCAGCTAGTATCCAACACCCTTCTATTCCTATAAATGTTTTCTTTTACAAAAATATTACAACAACAACCATATAACAACTGCAAAATTGCACACATTAGGAAATGATTCATACAAGCTTGTTTAAATAACTATATAGCTACTGTATCATCTTAAACAACTTTTTATTTTCTCATCCCACAACAAAATACGTTTGTACTTTGACAGTTTGAAAACATTAAAAGTAAATATTCTCTATGACGCAATAACATCCGTAGCCGAGTAGAATATTTGAACTAATCCCCTTATTATAATTTGAAAGAAGACAGTTTCGTTCATTTCAGCTATGAATTAGTACCTTTATGAAAAGTTCATAAGTGCATTGAAGAGTTTAAGTTTTCATGGAATGACAAAACAATATAATTTCCTAACCTTTTATTAGGAAGGGGACTTTTACTGAATGTTTACTAGCACCACACGCCAGGAAAAAAAAATTAAAATCATGTATATTATAGCAATTAAGGACACTTACATATCCACCACCACCAATAACAACATCACGAACACTCTCTCTAATCGTCATCCCACTCTTGGCATCAACATCAGGTGCAGGAAGACGCAGTTTTGTGGGTCTCTCACTGTCTCTAATCTCATCAGGGTCAAGAGGACAATCAGCAGAGTAATCTCCCAGAACTGAAACACTTCCTGGAAGGTGGTCTCCCATTAGCTCATAAGGCTTTGCTGGAAATACGTACAGGTGAACTATGGAAGCAATGCCCATCTGTGCTGGATGAATACAAAGTACTGTCAAACTTTACTCTTCCTCTTCTCTGAAATAGTAACTAAAATCTAAATAATGAAGATAAGAAAGAAAGAACATTTTACTTATGTGTCCAAAAAGGTTCGACTGCAAGTTCCAGAATCAGTGCACAGAAACCCAAGAGATGGAGTATTGACAATCTTAAATGCAAAATGCAACAGAAAACTACAAATTATAAAACAAAATATCGAACTTTCTAGCATATTTTCTTCCCATGACATTGGGTTGCTTTGCTTGATTATTAAAAAGATCAATTAAGTCATCAATCACTTGACATAACACAGGTGTTTATAAGTCGGGGCTTACAGCTCCACTTCCAAGTTCGAAGTGGTAAACACTACTGGAAGTTAAAATTTGTCAAAAGAATAGAAGTTACAAAAGTTTATGTTGTTATTTAAAAAAAAAGCAGTTATTTGATTGGGAAAAGCATGAGAAAATTTAATGTAAAATAGTTTAAGTGAAGGGTTAAACTGAAAGAAAAAACGATCACACCAAACCTCTGTATCCTATTTATATTTATTATTATTACATCCTATAGTCTTAAATATAAGAGATTTCGGGTCAAATACATCCATTTTTTGTTGACCCAACTTTCTCTTATATTTAGAACCAGATAGATTACTATTATACAGTCACCAAGCTTTAGTATGATATGATTGTTTTTCACAAACCTAGTTCCATGAGAAACAATCATATTATATTGAAGATTGGTGACCATATAATACAAGGATATGTGCGGCAGATCTATGGACAGATTAGCAACAAACGGAACTCAAATCATCCAGACAAACTCACAAGACGGTTACCAAAAGAAAGAATCCATTTGGTAGATCACATTCACTAATCAAGGTCCTGCATTCCAGACCAGGGAGGAGCAGGGCCTTTGAGTCAATCATGGTTGAATAAAAGTTTCCTCGCAACAGTAAGTTGCAAGGCACGCTGAACATAAGTGCTGAAGCAATTGCTCATGCAAAAAAAGCAAAGCTTAACTTCAGTGAAGGACATCTACCTCAATGCAAATGATGAAATCTTGGACACTTGACTTAAACTGCAAGCCTTGTGCTATGGGACTTTTGAACAAACCAAATGTATATAGTAGAGCAATTGCCACACCTTGCCACCAAGTGAGAAACACAATTGATTTAAATGTCAAAAATTTGGCCAATGGCTTTATATGAGCCAACTCGTCCTTTGTAACAGTATAAAATTGAACAAGGCAGTACAGAGCCCATGACTGACTGAAATTTAGAACCACTGCCACATAAGGATACCTGCAAATGTAGCAAAATAGCCCATGCAGTCAGAAATATCATAAGTACCTTAACCTGTCATAGAAGAGCATAACAAGACAAACTTTAATATGAAGATACCGAACATTTGAACATGAAATTTCAATTACCAAATCCATCGTTATGGTATAATCAATTCAACACCACTTTATGCAAATAATTCACAATAGAATAAGTAAGAAGCAAATGCAGGCATAAACAATTTGATCACTTAAAAAGGTATAGTTTAGAGAGAAATGCTAAGTACAGTAAACACAAGATCCAAATATTTCTTAAGTAATGAAAGATAGAAACGGCACATGCAAGAGTTGTCAGAGTTTCAAAACTTCCCTTTATGTCTTCTTGTCTAACAAGGAGAGAAGAAAACAACAGGAAAAGGAAAGAAGAAAATGATGATAAAATATAATAAGGATGTGACAGTTGGTTGGTTATGGCAGGCATATATGCAAAGCACGGTTCTCAGAAGAATGTAGATTGCAAAAACTTCATTATTGTGTAAGGTAAGCAGTGAAGAGAAAATTGCTTACCCACATCCTAATTTGAATTCTCCTTCACAGTAGACTCCAAAGGCTTCAAGGATTACGGCCAAAACGGCAGTGAAAGATTTGATGATCATCTGTAAGGAGTTGGAGAGATATAAATAAAAGGAAAGGAAAAAGGAAAAAGAAAAAAAGTGAGAATACATACATATTGAACAATACCAAATTTGACAATTTGGAAAAAGCCAGGACCAAGTTTCCATGGTTTAAGGAAGTATTTGAGAGGAAAAGGATGGGTGACAATGCCAGAGTAAGAAGAATGGTTGAGAAGAGGAGTTTTAAAAGTAGCACGGCCCTGTCTTTCCATAAACAAAAGAGTCCTTTCTTCGCCTCCGAGGCAGGCAATGAGGTATCTTCCAAAGCAATACATGGCAAATGACTCGTAGCAATCCCTGAGTATCTCGCAATCAACACTAATGGATGGATTCACCAAGGACACAAACTGTGGCGAATTGAAACAGAAGGCGGTTAATTGGAAATAGTAGTACTAGTTAAATGAAAAAGAAAGTAAGAGCATACATACAGATTCAATAGAGTAGCATGGAACCATGAGGATAACACCGATCAAGAACTTCTGCTCTTCGGGATTCTTATAAGCGGAAAGATGTTCAAACAGAAGATAGAGGGAGAGAGTAAGAGTCGTCAGGAGAAAAGCAGACGCAATTATTGTCGCCCATACAGGAGGCGAGTAAACCAATTCCAACATCGAACCAACCAACCACCTCTAAGCTATACCATAATCAGTTGCTGCCACTCTTCGATGGATCAGAATCAGAATCAGTTGCTGCCAGTGTCGATGGATCAGAATCAGAATCAGTTGCTTCCAGTGTTCGATGGATCAGAATTCAGGATCCGTAACAGAAAGAGATTTGGAATGAAATGATGATGGACGATCGTTAGGTCAACCTTATCTCCGTCGTCCTCCTCTCATTATCCTCCGTCTACCCTCCCCCTCTTCGTCATTTTTTTCTTTGCTCACAAATTATAAATAAATTACACTATTCTTTTTCTCACCTCATTTTATCTAATCAAATACTCCAAAATTATTTCTAGTTGATAGAAAAAAAATAAGAGTTGACAATAAAACTCCTATTAAAATACTTAGATAAAAATAAAATTCACTGGACTAGGAAACATAATTTATTCAATTTTTTCAAATTATTAAATACATTAATTCATTGATTTTTTTTATAAAGGAATTCATTGAATTTTATAAAAGATGATTAATAACATCACTTAAAGAAAAATACATTTAAATAATTATTTTGTAGACAAAAAAATATTATATAAAATATATGCATATATTAAGATTTTATAAAATAAAATAAAATAAATGGTAAGAATTAATTTTGTTTTACAGATATATATATATATATATATATATATATATATATATATATATATATATATATATATATATATATATATATATATATATATATATATATATATATATATATATATATATATTATGAATGAGTAGAAAAAAAAGAAAATAGAGTTAATAGCGGAAGTGTTAAGTTAGAATTAAGAAAGAGAGAACGGAGGGGGAGGAAGGAAGAGGATGAATGAAACAGTACTGCGGGAGTGGTTCAATCGAGTTGACTCGGAGAAAAGTGGAAGCATAACCGCGCTCCAACTCAAGGTTTATTTATTTATTTTGGTCCATAATTATTTACACTTTTGTTTTTGACAATCCATGAATCAGGCAGCTCTAGGTAAGGGAAACCTGGAATTTTCCCTCTCAGTTGTTGAGCAGATGATCAGGTTCATTTCTTGTCTATTTTCATTCTTATTCACTTCACCCTTTTTCATTTCTTGTCTATTTTCATTCTTATTCACTTCACCCTTTTTCATTTCACTTCATTCATATACAACACAACAGGATGTACGATTTTGACAAGAATGGTACCATGAGTTTTCAAGGTAATTCATTGCTTTTCATTTTATTATTATTATTATTCCATCCCATATCCCTAACTTTGTATTTCTTGTTTCTTCCTTCCAGAATTCGTTGCCCTCAACAACTTCCTTCTTAAGGTTACTCTACTAGTCTACTACTTCCTCCCACTTATCTTACATTAACTCTTGTATTTTTAATCCCTTTGCAGGTTCAACATGCTTTTGCTGATCTAGACAAGTAATCTTTTCTTTTCTATTTCCTCCTCCTTTAACTTACCCTTTTATTTTTCACTCTCACGCCCTAACTAATTCATGCAGGGGTCGTGGTTTTCTTCTACCCGATGATGTCTTTCAGGTATATCCAAACTATTTTTCTGTCAAACTAAAACACAAACACCCTAAATATCTCCCTACTACCTAAAAGCACCCACACTGTCACCTGATAGATACAACCATGGCTACTCAATTCTACACACCTTTCCTACCGACTCTTCACTGCATAACTAACTACCATACCCACTTTTAACCACCAATTTCTACACAAGTCTCTCCAAATGTCACTTGTCTAGTCTAGGTTTGTTAAGGGAATTACATTCATAATAAGTCGTCCACTGAATTTCTCTCTCTCCATGCTTCATCTTTTCATGAAACATTCGATTGGTTGTCACTACGACTTATGGCTTAGAACATGTTCTTTGTAGATTCCAAACTAGATACGTCAGGCATTGCAGCTCACCCATGGCAGCTGCAAGACCTTCTACTCGTCTTCCCAAAAAGATCTAGCTATTATATCTTGCTTCTTAGACTCCGAGGAAATTAAGGAATTGCTAGGAACTAAACAATGTCTACTGATACACCTTCTTATATTCAGACCTTGGTTGCATTATTCGCTTGTCATGCCTTCGAATCTCAAGTTCAGTCTGTGAGTACTTGTCTGTGGTACTTTTGCAAATTGGTTCACATTAGTTCACCTCTAATTCATGGAAACCCATGAACTGAGCTAAGTGGCGGAAGATGGAAGCAAGACGGGGAGAGGAATTATGTGAATAAAAGATGTGCAACATTGAGTGGTAGATGTAGGAGGAGAACTGGACTTGTATGGAATTCCTGGGAGTAGATAAATTTTGGACAAGGGGAATAGGCCCTTGCATTAAACAAAAAGTGAAAATTAAAAAGGTTTTGGGATCTGGGTCAGCTGGCTAGTCTTGTCCTGCCACCTTTTCTGTACTATTATAATGTTATTAAGAGGTTTTGGGAGGCAGCCATGGGTAGTGGGAAAAATTGACACAGGGAAATATTTTGCATTTAATATTTTTTAGCATATGCTAAATAATTATGTACAGCATACTATGTTATCTATTCGATTGTAAATTGAATTCTTCACCAGTAGCTTATCCGTGTAGCCGTACCCAAGTGAATTGTTAATTATGTGGCAATGATTAGGACAGCCCCCAATCTACATCATGTAATCCAAGGAGCTAGAATTCAGATAACTAGTGAAAAACACACCCTTTCCATGACAGCTCTTGAGATATCACAAAAACACTCTAAGTAGCTTTCTCATCTTGCAAGGCTGGTTTGTCCACTTCACTAAGTCGTTGAATGGGGAATATAATATCAGGCCTTGCACAGCCTTTTGTACCCATCATCATTAAACAAGCGAGTTCCTGAATCCTGAGGGGTACTAGCAGCTTAGAACTTAATACCCCTGCCTTAGTTGATTATAACCAAACTGAGATAAGTTCTCATTCCTTTTTTTGTTAGCCTCTCTGAGATCATAGAAGGATTTCATAAACATGCTCACTTTGTTTACAGAAATACCCACAAAAACCCATGCAGAAAAGCGTTGTTAACGTATACTTGGTGAACCAACTATTTGTTAATAGATGCAACTATGACACCATGTGCAACAGGTAAGAAAGCTGAAATGAATCCCCTCAATTTGATTATACCCTCTTGCTACGAGTTGGAATCTGGCCTTAAACCTCTATTATTCCATCTGTTTTATTTTACCTTGTAAGTAAACCCATTTGCTTCCTATAGGTTTGACTGTCAGAGGCAAATCTACAAGAGTCCAAGCATGTTTTTCTTCTAGAGCCTTCGATTCAGCTTGAATAACATGTATCCAACATTGTTAGAGCATGCTTCCCATGTAGGAAGTGGGCTCTTTCTGAATTGAGTCGCAATATATATTTGTCATATGAAAGGGAGAGATTCGTGTGGTCGATGTAGTCATTAATTGGATATGCTACTTTCCTAGTAGCAGAACCGTATTGGTAAACCTAATGCACATGGATCTCCTTGGCTGATTCCTGCTGGAGAAATAGGTGGTGATGGTAATTTTAAGTCAATGGTTTCAGCATGTGCAGGAATATATAGATCAGGTAACATGTCCTTATCAGATTGAGTTGCTGAGGAGGTTACAGGTTACTACTCTAGATTAAATCTTTAACTTTTTTAGACAAATAACAAAATGATGCCTCTTCAGCCTTTTTTTAGGCTGACTATTTGAGGATTGACTAACGGTTTTAAGAAGCATGATCCATCTTCTTATTTTTGTAAGGACTACTGGATTACATAGTGAACGTCCCTTCTTAGTATTAATATTTTTTTTGTTATAGTCATTATTTCATAACTTTGTTTTTAGAAAGTGAATATATTAATCATGGTTGTCAAGAGCTCGATCTAGATCTTAAAATCTCAAGATTTTACAATCTCACTCACCCCCAACGATCCCGGTCTTAAGTAGAATCTCATGTTGTAGTCAAATTGTGAAGAAAAAAAAATTGTAAAATCATTGATTTTGTGCAATATTTTCCAGTTTCGGGCATGATTGGTCGTTTTCCGGCCACCACCATTAAAAGTGAGAAGGATGACAAGATGCAGAGGCACAACAATTATGGTTTGGCGGGGATAAATGTGTGCTTTTTGAATTGATGAAGTTTTAGATTTAGGGTTTAGAGAATAAACATGTAGGGTTTGTTTTAACTAATTGACTTATGATAATCCTAATAATTGACCAAATATGTCCCTAATGTCTAACAAATGTTCCATGTAATAGTAATAAAGTATAAAAATTCAATCATACATTGTCTAAAGAATATGAAGAAGAGTCATTTTCTCACGAATACACTTGCCTACTATCATATATCATGTAAAAATACTTTAAATATATACTGTTATTTTTTCATTTTAGTAGGATTTTACGATTTTTGTTGCGATCTTATATTTTACGATCTTGTTACGCCCTCTTGATCTTATAAAAGTAATTTGGTAGGATCTTCAAATCTTAGCTATGATTTAATATTTTACGATCTTGCTATTCTCTTCTGATCCTATGTAAGATCTCAATCTTGATAACCTTGCTATTAATCATAATTCTCAATTTTGAATTTGAGTGTGCTAATTATACATATACTATGAGCTGTCCCAGAGTCCTATATTTTGGACATAGCTGTGTCGCAGTGTCCATGTTAGTGTCATGTCCGGTGTTTGTTCTTAGGATAATCTTGTGGATCTCTTTTGACACCTCATCCACGGCTTTATTATGATAGGCTTAAAATTAGAGGGAAGCAAGATTAGTGAAGTTATCTTTCCACAAAAATCATTACTTTTCTTGATTTCTGACTTAGTTTCTATCACCATGTTCTCCCCTGACAATGGTGTCCTTGCTTTATTTGTTATTACCTAGATATAAGGATGTTGTTAATGAGAATCTTCATAACTAAGTTTATACTGCATTAGGTTCTCTTTGGCAACCCACCCATCTTGATGAATTCATAAATACCTTTTCAGGCTGTGGTGAAAATTGGTTTCATGCTGGATTCTCCTGCATTTTACTCTGTCTGTGAGGTAAAACTAAATTTATGCTGAAAAGGTTGCATTTAACAATCAGTGGTTATTGTCAAAATTATGGCAAGATAGTTTACACAAGCATCATGGTAGCTTGAAGGTAGTGGTGAGATGGAGAAACCAATGTTGCACTGTGTTTGGCATTATTTAATTATTTCTTTTGATTCTTGTCAGAGCTTTGATCAAAGTAAAAATGGGAGGTTTCGGCTGGATGACTTCATATCACTCTGTATATTCTTACAATCAGCTCGGTATGTTCACACACCTTACAAAATATTTCAAAGCCCTTTGTTTGAATTTTCATTTTATTAATAAGTTTTTATTTGTCACAGGAATCTATTTACTTCATTTGATACCGCAAAACAAGGCAGAGTTACTCTGGATTTGAATCAGTTTATCTATTGTAGTAAGTAGAGTATAAGGTATTTTGTATAATTGTTAAATTGAGTGTGTGTTTGAAAAAATCTTTATTCTCTTTTCCAGCTGCCAATTGTAGGATATGATTGGACTATATGGTGACTTGTGAAGACATTGTTGTAAGCCTGGGCTGTCTGCCAAAGATACAGTACCTTTTTTCTTTTTCATCTTGTAATTTTGTTTACCAAACTAGTTTTCACGGGTAAACACAAGTATCTTACAAAATTTGGTTTTATAATATTTATATTGTTAAGATGTGAAATAATAATTTTAAAGTTATAGGAAAACAAGTATTTTAAAAATATTTATACAAATGTCTAAATTAACAAAATGTGGTTGTATATGTGTAAAATCAATTTGTATTATTAATGCATACATATTAGAATTAAATAATGTGTATAAACTTATTAATAAATATAATTCACTATTTGTAGTATGTTGAGTAAATTAAATACTTAAAGTTACATATTATAATCCACTAACAAGGATACTAATAAATATATAAGGAAGAAATATACTTAAATTTAATAATAAATATAGGATTCATAAATTATATTTTTTATTTAAGTATATCTAACATGTATATTTTATTTTATTTTAATTATTTATCTTTATTTTCTTATGCAAACTATTTAATTGTTATATTATAAAAGAATTGGCGAGGGTTATCTATAATCTATATCTATAACATATATAAAGGTTAAATTTGGTTTTTGGTGTAGTCTAATTTTTTTTATATCAATTTTACTCTTATTTTAAAATATGTAACTTACACAATAACTTTCATTAAATTACTACTATCATTTTTTATATAACTTCTTACATAATTTCCATTTAAAATTAATATTTGTTCCGGTATGGGCCCAACCCCGGCAGGCCCAATACCGCGTACGGCCCAACAAGCGAATCGGGCACGCCAGACACGTGCTCTCCTCGAGACGAGCAGGGCAAGCCGCCGAACACCGGCGACGTCTCCACAACCTTTTGTCGTCTACCACACCGGACGGGCAGAACCGTCCCCGGCTCACCAAAGCGCGGCCCTTGGCTCCTCCCCTCCGCGGGGAGAACAACGCGCTCCGGGGAACCTCCCGGGCTCCCCTCCGCGGGGAGAATAATGTGCTCGGCGCACGTTCTCCACGTGCTCCCCTCCGCGGGGACGCGTCACCGGCCAACTGCCCACCTCCGAAAGAGCAGGTCAAACCCACTTTCCGGAGATCTAGGAGCGGTTGGACTAGGGCGAAGACCAAGTCCTGGTCTTCACTACGCCACGTAAGCCCTAGCAGTCATTAGGGTTGGGCCTGGTCATCCAGCCCACCTCAAATGACCGTTGGCCCAGCGCTGGGGTCTCTCTATAAATACCCTCTTCCTCAAGAGGGTCAGGTAACTTTTCTTGCCCCTTTTTCTGTACTATTGCTTCCACTCTGCCCGGTTTCTTACTTCGGCATCAGAGTGTCTTGCAGGTACACCCCCCTCCTCTTTCTCACCCCGGTGAACAGGTAGCCATCCAGTAGCACGCGGCCATATCGTGATCCCCTCCTGATCAGGTCAGATCAGTGGCGCCGTCTGTGGGAAACCGAAACTTCCCCGTTACTCCGAGCAGAAAACCAAAAGTTTCACCAAACCTCCACGATCATGGCTAGCCCACGCCGCGATGACACTCCGCACGACCTTGCGCTCAACGTCGCCACCAACGGGAAGCAGACAGGAACGGCACGTCCGACGGAAGCCGATGAAAGGGACGGGCAAACTGTTTCACCATCATCCGAGGAACGACCCCTTTAGGCCGACCACCGCCCCCCGAGCCCGCCAGCATTCCACCCCGTTCCCATCCCGGCGGGAGCAGACCCAACGGTGGCCGCTCTCTTTACAGCCATCAACCAGACGAACCAGCTGCTGTTCCAACAAAATGCGAGGATTGGAGCATTAGAACGCGTCGGCCCCCCGAGGTACCCCCAGCGGGAAGACCAGAACGGAGGTTCGAGGAGTCCCTCGCCTCGGCCCAGAAACCGCCGACCCCGGCTGGAGAGACACCGACCGCAGGCGACACGAGAACGCACCCGATCCCCGGCAAGACACGCTCGCGGGAGGAACCAGAACGCAGCGACGATCCCAACTGAGGACCCCCGAGTCGAGAACTCCGGCAGGAGGTCGAGAACTCGAAACCAGGGGCACACCTTGAACGGCTCATCTCCTCACAGATCCCCGGCACATAGCGACGAGGATGATTACCGCACCCCGCTGTCCCGGGAGATCATGGCCGCCCCTATACCCCAGGGAATGGAGAAACCACCGACGCTGTCGACATACGACGGCACCTCCGACCCGGACGATCACCTGGAAGACATCGAGGCTATGCTCGACTACCGGAACGTCCGGGGAGCTATCAAGTGCAGACTTTTCCCAACGACTCTGAGGAAAGGCGCTATGACCTGGTACAAAAGTCTGGAGCCCGAATCAATTACATCGTGGAGGGTCTTGAAGGACCTGTTCTCCAAGCACTTTACGGCGTCCCGACGTCACCCGAAGACGGAAGCAGTCCTCGGGGCAATCATTCAAGGCCCCGACGAACCTCTCCGAAAACACATCGAAAGGTTTACTCGGGAAGCCGTGCAGGTGACAACTTCCGACGAAATGAAACGCTACTTAATGGAACAGGGCCTGCGCCACGACTCCAAATTCTACGAGGCCGTAGGCATACACCGGCCCACGTCCCTCCAAGATTTCCTCGACAGAGCCGCGCATTACATCCGATTCGAAGAAACACAAGCGGCCAACTCCGCTCGCGACAATCGAGACAGAGAGGTCCCCCGCGGGCACCGAGACGACGGAGCTTCGAGCCATCGACGAGGAGGAGACCGCCGTCGGGAAGACCGCCCCCGCGAGCCCCGCGAACAACGCGAGCCGCGCGGCCCCGCAGGAAGATTCACAGAGTACACAGCCTTGGTCGCTTCGTGCGAACGCATACTGGCCGAATGCGCTAAAACCGAGTTTGTTCAGGGAGGTGTCCGATTTCCACGACCAACGCCGCCCAAACCCAACGTGGACAAATCGAAATACTGCCGATTCCACAGGACCCACGGGCACGTGACAGAAGACTGCATCCATCTCAAGGATGCGATCGAAATTCTAATCAAAGACGGGCACCTGAAGCGATACACCCGAGGAGGCGAACCACCTAGGCCAGAGGCTCCGGAAACCAAGAAGATCGAGGAACTCCCCTCTCCGGAGGACAGCAGCAGGCTCCAGGTCGCGTTGTGCGTCAGCCGCCCCGAAGATTGGTTCGCGAGCAGAGAATTCGGCATCCCCGAAGGACCCAACCTAAGCGACGAGCCAATCCGACCAACCAGCCGATGAGAATACTTCCCCAGAGCCATGGTCATCTCTGACGGAGCCACGAGGAGTCTATCCATAGGATCTGTGAAAAGGAAGTTCGACGAGCTCATCGCGAACAACTCGGGCAAAATGAGCACGCTCGACAAATTCCGAGGCCGCTCCAACCCGATCACATTCTACCTCGAGGAACTACCCGGGGGATCCCCCAATTCCAACATCCCCTTGCTCATACGTGCCCGGATGGCAAACTTCGACGTCAGGCGCCTCCTCGTAGACGGCGGGAGCTCGGTTGACATCATGTACTCACATCTGTTCACTACCCTCCAGCTCGACGAATCCAATCTTTCTCCCTACGTAGGCTCCGACCTTCAGGGGTTCAACGGGACGACGACGAGACCTTGGGGATACGTGGAATTGAAAGTCACCTTCGGAGAAGAGGAAACCGCCAGGGACATCAACGTCCGTTTCTTAGTCATCGAATGCCCGTCCCTCTATAACTGCATTTTGGGCAGGACGACGATAGCAGAACTCGCCGCGGTACCTTCCACCGTCCACCTGAAGATGAAGTACTACACGAGACAGGGAGCCGTGGTAACCCTCAACGGAGACATCGAAGCCGCTCGCAGATGTTTCGAGGCCGCCTTGAAAGGACTAGACTCCATCGCTCCGTCGACCAAGAGGAAAGCGTCAAACGCTACGCCGAAGGACAAACCAACGGAGCTGGTCGGATCCGTTGAGCTCGACAGTCGCTTCACCGACGAGCTCGACAATATAACAAAGACCGACGGAGGTAACGGGCAACCGTCGCACCCAGCGCGCCCCATCCCGGATGGAGAATTCGAACTCATTCCCCTCGGAGAAGACACGGGCAGAACCGTGAGGATAGGCGCAGGACTCCCAGACCTCGCGAAACGCCAGCTCCAAGCCTGCCTCCGTGAGAATGCCGACCTCTTCGCCTGGAGCGCCGCGGAAATGCCGGGACTCGACCCCGAGGTCGCCTGCCACCAGCTGTCCATCAACCCAGCCGCGAAGGCCGTTGTATAACGCCGACGTCGCCAATCCCCCGAAAAATCGGCAACGGCCGAACAAGCTGTAAAAGACCTCTTAGAGGCAAATTTTATTTCGGAAGCCCGGTATTCAACCTGGCTGTCCAACGTTGTACTCGTCAAAAAGAATAATGGAAAATGGCGCATGTGTGTTGACTATACTGACCTCAACCGGGCATGTCCTAAGGACGCCTACCCCCTCCCCAATATCGACAAGCTCGTCGACAACTCGGCGGGCTTCAAACTTTTGTCCTTCATGGACGTGTACTCGAGATACAACCAGATCCCGATGGCCGAACACGATAAGCAAGCCACGGCCTTCATGACGGCGTCGGGCAATTACTATTACAACGTGATGCCCTTCGGCCTCAAAAACGCCGGGGCCACATACCAGCGGATGATGAACCATGTCTTCCGCAACGAAATCGGGGACATGCTCGAAGTATATATGGACGACATGATCGTCAAATCCGGCTCGGAGGACGACCACGCGGCACACCTCTAGAGGGTCTTCAAGACCGCGAGGTCATGTCGCATGCGTTTTAACCCGGAAAAGTGCACCTTCGGCGTCTGCGCCGGTAAATTCCTCGGCTACTACCTGACCGAACGGGGGATCGA